TTAGAAGGTGGCGCTGTGGAGCAATTTTGGTGAGTTTTCGAGTATGTTTAGGGCCTCAAAAACGCGTGTCTTTGGCACGAATAATAATAATAATCCGAGCAGTTCCAATAGGGTCTTCGCACCCTTTTGGGTGCTCGGACCCTAATAATAATAATCCGAGCAGTTCCAATAGGGTCTTCGCACCCTTTGGTGCTAGGGTCCCTAAATATGGTACATAACAATTTCACATCCATGAAACCAAAACTTAACAATAAATTGATCCGGTAACTATTGTGTGTGCAACAGAACTCCACTGTGGTCACACTGTTTCACATGTTGCTTCATTATGATACAATAGGAACACTACAGTTTATTCAGAGGCACACTAGTAGTTTCCAGGAACTGAAAGTAAATGTGTAAGAGGTTACTAAAGGTCTGAATACTTCCTCCATCACTGGTGATTTGAAAACTCAATGCCATGATCGTTCTAGTGAGATCATCACCGTAATCATTAAAGAGATTTGTTTCCATTGTGTAATAATCATCCTTCAAGTTGCACGTCATTGTCATTGTATTACGCATACAGTACGTGATTTAGCTTTTGTTCCGTGTACAAAAGCACTAGAAAAAAAAACAATGGCTTTGTGGTATTACCTTGTACTGGTGTGATGGAGGTCTGTGCGAGGCGGATGTGGTGTTCTGTGATGTGGTACGCAGGCTGGTGCTGGGCGATCTCCACGCTCGTGCACACATTGCTCTCCCCGTGGAGGAAGAAGGAGAAGGAACATGATAGGTGTTCACTGGGGGGACAGAAGACAGCAAGGATTTAGATAATGAAACCCCAGCGAGACGTCAACAGTGCAGAATTGCGGTGGCGTACGTATTCGGTGTGTGTACGGTGAGGCGATCATAGAAATGTGAGCCAAGTCTTCTCTCCGAGCTCCAGCTTGTACGCAGCGTGAAAAACTGAACTGAGTGATAATGTGAGTTTGCACTGTAAAACAGATGCTGCTCTCTGTGTCTGTTTCAATTACATACAAATTCCCCTACACAGCATAATTCATTTAGATTTAAATTGAGTTATAATTACATTTAATTACGTTACACTTCACATTAAATAAAGCCGTGAATCAGATCTATTAAAAAACAAACGCCAAACATGAATACGTCTGTCTTTCAGGGCCGCGGCGTGACAGACGATGAGAGCTTTTCTCCAAACAGCAATTTGGAGAATGCAATCAGAATGTGTCTTTGTAAAAGCCTCGCTGAGCTCTACCTTCATTGATCATCTTCATCAGTTCCCACATATGCTCCTTATTGCAGGTATAAATCCTCATTTGCTTATGATTGATTATAATGACTTCATGTTTACATATGCAGCGGCCTCTTTATTACACGGCCTGGGTATAGTTCATCACGGATTGTTCTTTTTTTAATCACAGAGGAGTAATTGTTGGGGCCTTATTGCAATCTATATAGCAGTGGGCGGGCTGGACATCATTAGCTACCTAGACAGCTTCACTGATGTATATTTTTAATCTATAAACCTCCTTAATACTTTGGTTTATATATATCAGACTGACAATAAAGTCAGCAGGTACTGTAATCTCCTTGTGATTACCCTGCTGCCTATGCAATATCTCCTTTGCCCTGAGGGAGCTGGACCTCCATTTGAGGCGTAATGGATCATCAAATTCAATAAAATGGCCAGTTCCACAGTCACTCATGGGCAAAACTGAACACAGTCTTAAGGGGTGGCCAGATATTGTGGCGGTTGACACGATGGCCCCCAGGTGGCGCCAAAATGCACCCGAAGAGCGAGGAGGCCAATTGTTTCTGCTTCATAAACATTCCTGATGCTCCCAGAGAAAAACATACCCTCCTAACAGCAGGTGGTTCGAAGTCAGGTCTGCACAATCACAGGAAGAAGTGCGGAGCTAAAGCGCATACATATGCATGCGCAGGGCTTCGACAAACTGGCACACGAGAGCATGTCGCCTTCACACCTACAGGCACTGTTCCCCTCACACACACACACACACACACACATGCGTAGACACAGCACTAGTCCATCATCCCTGCAATTCACATCTCTGCAACACATGAGTCAAAATGCTTTCAATGTCACTGCCCTCCAACCTTGTCCTCAGTGCATCATTCCACCATATGAAGCGCTATATATAGCTGCATGGGGGAGCTCAGGATAACAGCTGCAAGTCAAGAGCACCAGTGCAGCTAACTGCCACATACATATACACAAACAACCACAATTAACATTTAGGGATCTTTAGCATCTCTGCCGCATGCTTTAATTATCTTCTTAATGCGCTTCATTCTAAATAAAGTCATAAGCCAACATGGTGCTTCAGTAAACAAGTAAGTTTGTAATGATTTTTTTTCTTTCCCCCAGTGGCTGATTGACAAATTTGTTTACTGACTGATTTTCTGCATTTCACAATGTTTATAGCAGTGCATGATTCAAAATGAAGCACCAATTACTATTTATTTCTCTCTCATGTTGATGATTCCGGTGATATTTTTCCATACTGTATATATACATATGAGATGTGCTGATCGGGACCCGTATGAGCACAGAAACGTGCCTCCTTGAACTGCCTGAGACAAATAGCAGGAAATCGCTGTTGTAAATCATCTCCACTCTTTGTCTCTTTCCTTACACTCAGACTGTGATCCAGCAGATTTAAGGCCTGGATACTTTTGATGTTTCAGCTGAAATTACAGCGTGCTGATAATAAATGGTTCCTGTTGGTGCTGTCAGTCAAATACACCTGATGTGTAAATTCTGTTGCTCACAAAGGCTTCTTATGAAACTAAGGTCAATTAATATCTTGGGGAGGGGGCAGCGTTTAGTTGAGGGAACAATTAGAATCGATAAAATTACAAAGCAATCAGTCAAACCAATATCTAAAGCGCCACAAGTATATTCCTAACCAATAGATGTCAGCGTTATCAATCAATAATTGATTAACTGATTACTGCAAACACTATTCCATATTATTTTTGATAAACATTTGCTGCTAATAATATAGCTTGATTGCAAATGCTTCTAGGCTGTAAGAACACCATCATAGTAAACTACAAGATCTATTTAATATGTGAGCTTTCGCAGGTAGGCAATAACTGCCACAGACGTCTTTGTCATGGTGGCCTGTTGTTGGCTCAAACCCCACAATGTTCTCTGCCTGCCAACATGAAACTGCCTGTAGTCCAAGTGACAGCCTCCCTGGGTGACTACCTACATTTTCTGACATGCATGTCATCTATCCTTATAGAATAATATATTTTTTATATGTTAAATTATGAATGAATCAGTTAAACGTGAATCATTACCATCCCTAACTGCCATGAAGTGCAGTCACATGTAAGTCAGGGGAAAGCAGAACTACAAAAAAGAGCATCAAACTGTAGGCTGACGCAGCTGGGAGATTGATGCTCCCTGTCCTTTTACAAAGGGCATTTTCCTGCACAGTAAGCGGGTGTGAGTGTGTGGACACACTGGGCTCTTTGCATCCTCTGGGGCATTTGTGCAGTTGGCAGGCATGTGTGTATGTGTGTGAAAACAGTGGACGGAGATGTGAGGCAGCTGTGTGTGCTGGGCTGTATGAGTACAGGTATTAATAAATGAAGAGGAGTGATGGCTGAGACTTGCCTAAGGGCTGACAGTACAAGAGAGAGATAGAGAGAGGGAGACAGAGAGAGAGAGAGAGAGGGTTGGAGGGAGGCTGAGGAAAAAGAAGTGAGAGTGCAGAGGAGGAAGAAAGGAAAGACAGCAAGACAAGAAGATGGAGACGGAGAGAATTAAGGACATGCACAAATAAGATTGAAGCAAAAAGGGGAAATAGGAGGACAGAGAGGAAATTAGGAAGACAAGGAAAGAAAGATACAGTAAAAAATGAGGAGTGAGAGCAAAACGAGTGTGAGAGAAAGAGGGGGAAGTGAATAATTCAGTGCCACGCACTGCAATTGCTGCACACATATCGATGAGATCAGAGTTTTAATGGGTGGCTACTGAGCATAATTTTATGGTGAAATCAATCAGGTAATGTAGAGCCGGAGAACACACAGACACATCACATACTGTCTGTCTGTGTGTGTGTGTGTGTGTGTGTGTGTGTGTGTGTGTGCGTCAGTTTTATATCGCTTCATATGTTCAGTATGTGCCTCCGCTTATATGACAGAGTTAACGGCATGGATTTACTTGGGTTTACTGTATTATATGTGTCCCAGTGTGAGCTGTGCATGCACAGGGTGACACATGTGTGAACAAAGACCCCCAGTTAGAGCATCATGTGAGCCAGTGAACACACATGCTGTATGTACCCTGCATGCATGTTTGAAAGTGGCTGACAAAGAGGGAAAAGGAGCTGTGCTGGGTTCATGTGACAACATGTGTCTTTTCACCCCATCACAATGCGACTAACAGCCAGCAGCCAGCCAGCAGGGGAGCTGGTTAATGTCCGACATGCATCATGGACTTGACACACACGCATCTGTGTGTACAATCACATGCACACAAAATAACAACAGTTATCTCGGTTGTTGGGCTGCTCTCATGTCGAACCAAGTGAGAAAAAAAGATAAACGCAAGATTAGATGAAAGGAGATAGAGAGCAATAAACAGTAAAACAACCGTGTGCCAGACACACAGAGCTTCTATTTCCTCTCTCAGAGGCATCCAAAGCCCATGATGTGATAACTGTGTTTAGATATCATTAACTATAGTCATATGCACTAAGCAGGCATGATAGCATTTTCCTAAAATTCTCCCAAATCTAGGGGATTAATCTTCTTAATCTGCACCTTAAATGTTCTGTGTGCCACCACAGCAGCATTATTATGAGTTATCGTTTCCCTTCTAGCTGCCTAACCCTTCCCACACAATCACATGTCCTGGAAACACAAGAGTGTCGACGCTCCTCTGCTGCATGTGGACCAATGTCGAGGATGTTTACCCTCTTGTAAGCTCTCGTGAGCAGCATGTACACACACGCTGCACAAGTCCTTCCACCGCTCTGGCACATTGTTGAATTAAGTCCCTGCAAACAAATCCAGCCAAACCACCGAACATGCACGATATGCCCGGGCTTATGCAGGTGTGTGCAAATGACTGTACACTCGCCACTGTTAAAAGTAACATAACGTGGATGAAGGAAGTTTTGATGTATTATTCAGTGCCCCCCAGTGGGTGGCTTTAGCCACTGTTGCTATCACAATGTTTGTGTTCACTCACTGCTCCAGCCGCTGATGTGGACTCACAATGAAAAGGTGCCGTGCTCAAGGACACAAACTGTGCGCACTTACGTCTGAGCATGAGTGCTCATTCCTGAGCACAGAAAAAAAAATACCAGTCTCTAGGAAATGGAATTAGATTTATTGTATTCCTGAAAAATAGCAGAGAATGACTGTGAATGCTTGTCACTGGGTTATTCCCACATAAACGCTGCCAAGTGGAAAAGCCTAAGTCGCTAGCCTCAAGAAGAACATCAATGCTGGCTACCACAGGCTTTCCCTTCATATCTGTGGTCCTAATTAAAAAAAAGAGGAAAAGTGTCTGGTGGAAGGTTGTTGCTGTGATGTATCACCATCCTCTCTATTGATCTGTGTGTTTTTTTTCCCTCTTCCTTCTCTATCTCGCTCACATACTCTCAGTGGTTTCTCACCTGATAATATGAGAAATGTGGAGGATAGTGAATCACATGTTTTTTTTGTCTCTAGGGAGGCCCAGCACACACGGAGAACATGCTTCAAAGGAGGAAATGCAAATAGCGCCGTAATCCAA